GGGGGCTGGCCGCAGGATATCGGGAGGGGTGGCGGCCAATGGGGTCTGAGCTGGATGGGGGAGCTCAGGAGGAGAGAAGAACTGGCCACCAGAAGCAGAGCTGGTGGGGGGTGCAGCGGGGCTGGCCGAGGAAGATCCAGAGCAGGAATCGGCCAGCGGGATGCAGAGTTGGTGGCGGCGGGGGAGGGAGGGGGGTTGTGGGGCAGGGAGAGGGACTGGCCAGGGAAGATCCAGAGCAGGAACTGGCCAGCGGGACACAGAGCTGGCGGAGGGGACAGGGGAGCGAATCAGCCGGCGGGGAGCAGGACTGATATGGGCTGTGCAGATTGCAAGGCACTCCCGTCCTGCGCGAGTCAGTCCGGCTGCAGCTCCACCATGAGCTTGACCAGCATGCAGGAGCATGGACCGGGCTGCCCCCCCTCCTCACACACAACCAGGGCCCCCACTGCCAATCGCCCCCTGCCTCTCAGTCGCTCCCCCTGCCCTCACCAGGCTTCCGTCCGGCACCCAGCCGGAAAACCGGGAAATTCCAGACATTGCACATGTCCAGTATTTTCTGGATTTTTTTTTACTGGACAGAGGGCCCAAATACCGGACTGTCCGGTAGAAAACCAGATACCTGGCAACCCTAGGTAAGCAGGAGGTCCGGGAGCGAGGGACGCTGGGCCCAGTTGCCAAGTGTGTGTAGGGTTGCCAGGTGTCCGGTATTTTCGCCTCCTGGCAGGGAAAACCCCCCAGAAAACACTGGATATTTTAGGTGTCCAATATTTTCTTAATTTTTTTACTGGATAGGAGGTGAAAGTACCAAACTGTCTGGGTCAATACCGGACACTTGGCAACCCTATCGCTGCCGCTCTGAAGTACTCCCTCTTCCCCCGCTTTTCTACCTCTATCTGATAGAGGCAGTGGGGATGGGGAAGGGGACTCAACTAGTCCTTAACACCCTTAGCCGAAATAGCACCACAGTCTAGATATACCCTCAGGCAAGTGGATGCGTTAGAGAAGGAGAGCAGATGAGAAACTTCTGCATCTATGACCACGAGAGGAGAATCATAGCAGGGAAAAGAGAAGACATTTTTCACTCACATCCTTTGATAGATTACTCAGTGCTGAAAATACATCTGTAATTTGATGGCTTGTCTGTCTGCTGTTTTTTATTCAGGCAAAGTGTCCATACAGGTCTTTTGTTTTTATATCTTTTCTGCTCATTATATTAGCTGATTTCTTTTCCATTTTTGCCACCAGACTCTAGATTTAAGCATTTTTACCAGCATTTTCAAAGTTTTCCCTCAAATAAATCTGATTGAAATGAGGTATGCAGAATCCCCATTTCCAAGCTTTGTGGGATGTACTGGTATTTCCTGTTCTAGTTCGTCACTGATCCAGAGTGAAAAGTAAAAGATTCATTTGAGAATAAACTATGGTTTTCAGGATCTGAATAACTTAGTGGAAAACATCTGTGTAATGCAGCCAGAGGTGAGCAAAAGCTGCTGCAAAGTTCCCCTTTTTCTTTGGAAGCAATTTTATTCCTCAGAGTGGCATACAGACAGAGATATGCCTCCTGTGTGAAGACAGGAGATACATTTTCAAAGGGGGGTGTAAGAATTTGGCCATATCAATCCTATCAGTTTAAAGTCTGCTGCAAGACTTTGAAAGCTTACTGCAGGGAGCATGACTGCAACTGCAAAAGTATAGAAAACAGAAGATAAACACGATCAAAGCATAACAAAGTGTAAATCTAAATCAACCATGTGTTTTCCAGAACTGACAACAATCTGAATGATTTAGACTGATTAAAAAATAAAATAGGGAAGAAAAACTTAGGAAATGCCTTATCATTGTGAGTAACATCCCCAACCCTCAAATTACTTACTTCACAATGAGCAATTTGTCACAGATTGTTTGCTTTGCTAACCAAAAGATGTAATACAGATAGAACTTACTTCTTTTCTTGTTTGTCTGGCATTGCTGGGCTTTCCAGCAACAACCCCAGAGGTGTTCCCAATGGGTTTTTCAGCTGGAAGGGGTGGAGGGATATGTGGAACGTCATTTAAAGCTGGAAAAGTATTAAATTGTAAATCTGATGAGTTCTTTGTAGGGACCAAAAAGGAGTATAAAAAGATAGATATTAACAATCAAAATGAATCCCCCAACACTTCTTTGCAAACACGACTCCTAGGGGGCCAACAGACTTGTTGGGCCCATGGGCAAGGTAGGGGGAGGGAGCATCAACTC